TTTAAAATGACATTTAGAAACATGTACCGATTTAAAACTACCTCAGTGGCTCTGTAGTAAGTCTGAGGGCTCACACCGTTAAAAACCGGGTTTCAATACTTATGGTGGACATAACACAGATAGCCCGTTGTGTAGCTTTGGGCTTAACAACAAACAAACAGATTTAAATCTGTTACGGAGAAATTAAAAAATAACGTCTAGGAGATAAATTTATTATCTGTTGCAGGTCAAACTAGTTATGATAAATTGATTATCTGTTACAGGTCAAACTAGTTATGATAAATTGATTATCTGTTGCAGGTCAAACTAGTTATGATACATTGATTATCTGTTGCAGGTCAAACTAGTTATGATAAATTGATTATCTGTTGAAGATCAAACTAGTTATGATAAATTGATTATCTGTTACAGGTCAAACTAGTTATGATAAATTGATTATCTGTTGAAGGTCAAACTAGTTATGATAAATTGATTATCTATTGCAGGTCAAACTAGTTATGATAAATTGATTATCTGTTGCAGGTCAAACTAGTTATGATAAATTGATTATCTGTTGAAGGTCAAACTAGTTATGATAAATTGATTATCTGTTGAAGGTCAAACTAGTTATGATAAATTGATTATCTGTTGCAGGACTGTATGTTTCAGGTCAAACTAGTTATGATTGCTTTAAATAATTTATTATTTTAGTACTTAAGCCCTTCGTAATTAAAATCATGCTGGGTTAGTAGCCGACTGAAATAGCTTGGATATCAAATTCTTCAAATCTTTTCCCAAAACAATTGCCACCCAGGAGGCGAAACAAAAAGTGATTTCCCATCAGAAATCCTGGGATATATCGTATAACTGATATATCTAGCATTATAATTTTTTTATTAAAAAAAGTTATAAATATTATCTGACGAGCAGGAACGGAAGTGTATTCAAGTGTAGTTAGGTTCGGATGATGCCCATGAAAAGTATGCTCATTGATGTTTGAAAATTACCTATTATAACTGAAAGGTTATCGCATGCAGGTTACACACTCAGTTTTATAACATTCTCAAATGAAGTTTAACAAACAATAAAACTAATCTTAATTGTCTAAAATCAGGGTAGTTTAACCTTTCACGAGCAGCGGGTTTGGACTGTAGAGGATGAAAACGTTGGAGGGCCGTTATTTTTTTGTTTATAAATGACTCACTGGAATGGGGTTTACCAAATATAATATATTGTGTTACACGTGTGCGCTAGGTGTAACGAGATCTGGTGGTCGTATTTGACTAGTTAAAAGTCACCCGTGAAAACTAATATTTAAGTCAGAGGAGTTCAAGCGACAGCCTATAGGCCATATCCGTCTCATTATTAATTATCTATTAGATTACAAGTTTAAGTATTAAAAATAGCTGACTCACAAATATATTATATTTGATAAATCCCATTCCAGTGAGTCATGTATAAACAAAACAAAATAAAAAAAAACAATGACCCTCAAATGTTTCCATTCTTCGTGCAGATTTGTTCCTGTTTGACGTCACTTCCTTTTAAACTTTTTACCGGAAGCAATTACTTGAAAAAAAGAAGAAAAAAGAAATTTTTATTAACTTTATTTTTACTGTAACTTAGAAATATTATTTCTAAATAAAGTGTTTTTGGTGAAAAATCAGAACTTTCCTTTTATTCTTACATGTGGTTTTTTCTCCATATATTGTTACATGTGGTTTTTCGATAATTTATAATTGTTCTCTTGACCTGGTGTTGACTTGTTGCTTTCCCTCTAGTCTATCACTTTTGAATTAAGGGCGGCTGGCGCAGATAGCCCTCGAGTAGCTTTGCGCAAATTTCAACAAACAAACCCACCATGGCTAGGTGGTTAGGGCGCTCGACTCGCAATTTGCGGGTCGCGGTTTCGAATCCCCGTCACACCAATCATGCTCGCCCTTTCAGCCGTGGGGGCGTTATAACGTGGCGGTAAATCCCACTATTCGTTGGTAAAAGAGTAGCCCAAGTGTTGGCGGTGGGTGGTGATGACTAGCTGCCTTCCCTCTAGTCTTACACTGCAAAATTAGGGGTGGCTAGCGCAGATAGCCCTCGTGTAGCTTTGCGCGAAATCCATAACAAACAAACAAACCCACAACCTTATAGTTGTAGTCGCAATAAATGAAAAATTCTAAATATTTCAAGATAAAAGTTAATTTAGAAGTCCTATCAACATTATATTGTTTTATTTAAAGGACTGAGCTCTCGGGTTGCTCAGCAGAAATCTTGGGGGCTTATAAATGGCTTTCGACACCCGCCGTGAACACAACAAAGGTAGCTCAGCATATAATTTTGCGGTAAAAAACAAACGAATAAAAATAAGATCACGTTATCAAGAGCTTACCGTTTACCTACCATTTTTGTCGTATTTACGTCGCTGTCTTAACATATTACATTTCCCTTATATCATACTTCAAAATTAGATTACTATCAAGTGTAGAACAATCCCTTGTATCATACTTCAAAATTAAATTATTATCAAGTGTAGAACAAGTCACTGAATTTTCAAAAGAAAAAAACCCTGCGTCTCAAGTATCATTTGTAATGTGATAAGTTTGTGTGTCTAATTCTATCTGCTTACGTTTTTATATTAGATGCGGCATATTAAGCCCTCTCGTTTATATTAATATTTTTAAATGATAAGTGATGTGTGCATTATGTACACTTTCCAGTTATAGTTATAGTTCCAGTTTAGAGTTATGTAAAGTAGGTTTTTATTGTTTTGCTTCAAAAACAAGCTTTTTTACACTATATATACAGTAAGGATTAGTAAAATGTATAACGAAATATTTATTTACAATACTTGCTTAATTTGAAGAAGATTATTACAAATCGACAGATTGTAGCGGTGTAGACATATCTAAACAATAATTTTCAAGGTTTCTTTTCAATATGAAAATGCATAACAAGCTGTTCTTAACTTGAACGGTTTTTACAACTATTCAGATCTACCTTAACTACACCGTGGGTAGTTCTAAAGATATATTAAATTTATTATTTACACATTTTTATACTGAAAAGTAACCTATGATGCTATGAATCCGGTTAAGTAATGAAAAGTTTGGTAAAACAAATATGCACTTATTATTATAATATATATATGTGGGGGGGGGGGGTTATGTGTGTATGTATATATGTATATGTTTGTTTAGTAATTAAAAATTAGCTAAACATTATTGATTGAAATTTGCAGGTGATATTTTAAGTTTGATATTTTTTTAAAAATAAAACAACCGGTAAAAACTTTGAAACGGTATTTTTTAACGTTGTAATTTGGTGAAATAATTTATAAAGATGTTTATTATGTTATTGTTTTGAAATAAGTATATTGCAAGTGTAAGAGATGTAAGTACATCATTTATTAGTTAGGGCTTCGATAGTATTGAAGTAATCTTCGTAACCACACATTTCGTCCACAAATGTCTAAAACATTTATCGCACATTTAAAGGGATTGTATGGGCAAAAATATAAACAATAACTTTTTAATTTTAATCTAACCGATATAAAAGCCAGTGTGTGTCACGTCGCGCTTGATTTCTCGAAATAGGAGGAGTCATAAAAGCCAAAATGCATTTATCTCATTACGATTTTAGTGACGGGGGTGCAAGGGGACCGTGAAGGGATTGTCGTGAAACCTTATAAGTGTAATGAGTATTGGGATCACCTAGCCTAGAGCCAAGTGCATACAATTTATCATGAAAGTAAAAATAACGATTCAGTTTTAAACTTAAATCGTTTATGAATTAAGCTATTTTCTGTTATATCACCAACGTTTTTTAAAAAAAAAACTTCTAAATCAACGGAGACTCTAAATTAAGAAATCAACAAATATTTTTTCCAGTTTCATTATCTATACATTTCCTTTTATAGTTTTGGTAAACAGACTAACAACAATATTAGGTTATATTGTTGATAAGCAGCATGACATGAAAGCCATTGTTGTAACATAGTATTACCAAAACGCACTGGCTTTTCTATTTCAGTTAATTGATTTGTTTTTTAATTTCGCGCAAAGCTACACGAAGGCTATCTGCGCTAGCCGTCCCTAATTTAGCAGTGTAAGACTAGAGGGAAGGCAGCTAGTCATCACCACCCACCGCCAACTCTTGGGCTACTCTTTTACCAACGAATAGTGGGATTGACTGTCACATTATAACGCCCCCACGGCTGAAAGGGCGAGCATGTTTGGTGGGACGGAGATTCGAACCCGCGACCCGCAGATTGCGAGTAGAGCTCCCTAACCACCTGGCCATGCCGGGCATTTCAGTTAATATAACTGATTTTTTCCCAATAATTATTCTATGAATACGTCACGAATTCATTTCATGAGCGATCTTAATTTTGATTGTCTCACAAAGGAATTTACCGACGTTTGACTGCATCGACTGCACTTTTCTGCCTCTTTGTGGATCAAGCTTGATTAATTTGTTTCAGTTAGCTATGAAATGTGAAGTTAGGGTATATTATGGGATGGGAGTGGTAGTACTTGCCCCGTCATTTTTGACGGGCAACACGTTAGTAGCATATATATATTCTAGTTTGTTGACATTAGATAACATAAATTAAAAAGTTGGCTTGAAACCCGTTAATGATTTCAAATTCGATAGTATTTAGACGATTGAAAACTAAATAAATGCAGTTTTTATCTTCAATTATTTTTGTTATGTAAATTAACTTACTTCCTATAAGTGGCATTTAAAGAAAAAACAACCAGAAATAAACTCACATCATCCATCATCTCTAATTGAAAATGATGACCGAAAATAATGTTCTCTAATCTCTCTACTGGAATTCAACATAATAACTACAAGCGTTTTCCACTGATAGGGTTTACGTACGCGTCTTATATGTTTAATAAGTTTCTCTGTGTATATATATTATATATATGTGTGTTCTGTTGGGTCAGAGGTCATTTTACGGACTTAAAACATTAAAATCCGGTTCCATTTCCAGCAGTAAACTGAACCCAAAAAATACACCATAAAGTTATTGACTTATTTTAGCGTTTACCTTTTAATGATTGTATTTTGATTTTTTAAATGTCGTCCAGTAACACCATTACTCAAGCGATTGTGTTTTCGGAGTTTAGTTCAATTGAAAATGTATCTGTTGTTTTTTTATAATTAACTAAACGAAAGCAATTAATAATTGGAGTTTGGGAGTAAAAAAAAATACTTGATCACATTAATATTATTGAATATTTAATATTATAAAATAATTATATTCATTTCTGTCTCCGTCACTCTCTTTATGACAGCATCGAATATACATTATACGCCATTATTATTGTCGTTATTCGGAGACTTTATTATACAGTGTATTGGAATTACATTCTATATCGTGTATGGTAAAATTTAGATGGATTATCGAATAAGGTTCCCATTTCCGATGAAAAATATTTAACTAGTTTTTCAACCTTTTTATTTCTGCCAATTCGCGCTGTGGAAACATAAAGGAAACTGTTTAAAAAGAAATCATTAATAAAAGCTCTAATGATAATTTGTGTTTCAAATAGTAGAAAAACAGCGATCAGATTTTAGTTGATAAAAAAGCTATAACTAATAATTATTATATCACACCAGTATAATTGAGAATAATAATATGTACGATTCGGAAGGACACCAAGACATTTCAAAGGTTATGTAGTATTTTTCCAAAATCTAATTAAGTTATTTTACCAACAAATGCTTTGAACGTAAACAGTTTGATTTAAAAAGTCATTATTTTTTTTTATAAACCAATAGTTTTCGGCACACTTGTTTTCAAGGGGTGCTTGATGTTTGAAATATCTTTTTTTTCTTCCAGAAAAAAAAGGAAAGAAAAAGAATGTTAAACTAAGCTGCATAAATTGCTCTCTTTAGTTCTAAAAAAAATTAAAGACAGACAGTATTAGAGTACGAGCATCACACAATGTTGGATGGATATTTAGGCATAGTTATAGTGAAGACAGGGTTAGTAAAAACTACTACTGGCTGGGTATGTTTGGAGAGATATGTAACGAGCTGTCCAGCATATCAGGTTCATGAAAGCAAAATGTCCAGCGGTTGATTAACAATTATTAGTAAACCCATTTGCTCCGTTCGTGCCGATATTATGGGAAAACTTCTAGTAACAGAGCAAGGGAATAATTATATATTCTGACAGAGGTTAATTATGTCACTAGATATGCAACTGCTTTTACATGTCTAGTGATATTTTCACGGGTCAGATTCCTGAATAATTCTTATCAGATTTAGGTAGCAATATTCAATTGAAGATAATAGAGGAATAATGGAAGTTGACAGGTGTAAAAATGAATCACACTAGTCCTTATAAAACCAAAAAAAAAAAAAAAGGATGTGTGAGAGAAATAATGGAACAATTAAGGCCATGGGATGTGTGAGAGCGATAATGGGACAATTAAGGCCATGCTAAGAGTAATGGTTCAGGAGAAACCTGTTTACTGAAGAAATATGATGTTGCCTTTTGTACTATTTGCATATTGAGAAGTCCCTCAAGTTATGACAGGATTCTCACCATTTGATCTATTATATGGTTGAGATATTAACGTTCATTGCATTTATTAAAATTAAGTTGGTCCACAAACAAGGCAAAGTCTCAAAATGTACTAGTATATGTGATCAGCTTGAGGCAAAGGTTAGAAAAGGGGCAATATTTAGCGGCTAAAGTTACCAGGAGAGTAAAGATAAACAAAATCTTCGCTATGATAAGAATGCTAGAGAACGTAAGGTGAATCAGTTAGTTGCTATAGTACCTGGAAATAATTTAGTGGCAGGTCGTTTCCCTATAATTAAGCGTGTAGTCAAAGTGACATATGAGGTAGGCGAAGAAGATGGAGAAGTATCGGAACGAACATATCATGCAAATATGCTTAAGCCATGGTATACTAGAGTCGCACCTAAAACTTATGTGATGACCTGTTTAGAGCCTAGTAGTAACGAGAGTGAACAGAAGACTATCTTATGAACAGATAAAGTATGTTAAAATATTTGAAGGATTAACTCCTAAGCAACAGGGGGAAGTGCACGAGATTATGTATTTGTTGATAGGCCAGGACAGACTCTATTAGTTAAGAACGCTATAAAAGTAACCACTAATGTTGTGATAAAATAATCCTGAACAGTAAAGGTGGAATGGAGAAGACGGAGGGTATTTCCCAATTAATTGCGTGTGTGAACTTTGTTTTAATATTGTAGTGACATGTTAAAAAAATTGTGAAGTTTATAAAATATCAAGACAAAGACTATGATATGGTATATGTAAAGACAATGAAATTATTATTATCTGTGCTTCACAAAACACCGTGAATTGTGAAACAATCTAAAAAAAGAGTGTGATGAAACGCCAGAATTTCGGAGCCTGGTATAAAATCGAGATTAGACAGAAACGTAACCGAGATTTAATACAATCAATATTGTTCAATGTATTCAGGAAAAGAAGTGAAATGTGTTATGAAATTAGGTGAAAGCAATATCGGTTGAAATTGAGTGAGGTAAGAGAGCGGCCGGCCGTTGGTCAGTCTCTGAGTAAGTAGGGAATTACAGTACTCTAAGTCATTAGAAAATGATTGGTATGAGCGGCCGATTTTCTAACTTTAACGGAATTAGAGATTACAAAACCCACTCTGGTTATGATGCAATCCAGTATATGTAAAACAGGTGCAAAGGGCAAAAAGAAAGTGTCATGTTCGGCGTGGGAGAAAAAATAAAAAAGACAGGAATTCAACGAAAAAGAAGACAACCGAGAGATTCAAGACAGAGAGAACGAATAAGCCGAGAGAGCGAAGGAAGAAAGTAATACGCTGTCTTTAAGAAACAAAACCTATTTCTAAACCTATGTGTTATCAATTACCGTAATATACAGTAATGTGTTGTGTTTAGGTTGGTACGAGTTGATACCTCATAGGGATAAGACTAATCTAAATAAAGCTGATGGGCAAAAGTAGGGAAAGCGAAGTGCGAGAATAGCACGTTCATAACAATCATATGGAAAGACGTTATAAATGTTAATATACTGCATTTATTTTTTATGTTTACTAAAATTATGTTACATTGATTTCCCTTTATGTTAAAAACTGATGACGTGAAGGAGGACGTAGTTAAATTTTTTCTATTTAACCAACTGTTTATTGATAGAATCTTTTATTGACAAGCCCCCTCGGTGACCCAACGGCAAATCTCAGGACTTAATACGCTCTAAATTGGGTTTCGATACCCGTGGTGGGCACAGAACAAATAGCCCATCGTGTAACTTGTGTTTAACAACAAACACATACCTATAAATCTTTTAAGCGTAACAGAGAAAAGGAATTTTAGCGTAAAGGATGGTGACTATGGCAAGAAATATAACAAAAAGAAGCTTTTTCGACACATTAAGGGTTAATATTCATAGAATCACGTACACTTTAAATATTCTATCTAGGAAGTTTCGTTATTTGCTTTTTCTGGGATAGTTGCTTTCCCGCTGTATTTGCCTATTTCGGTTGCTCATATATAATTTAATTTTATAAAAAAGAATCTCCACGAAATACTAAACAGCTCTTTTGCAAATAACAAATGTAAATTCACTATGATCAAGTATTTTATTTTCTGTATATTAGACATCGTTTTAGTTTTATCGCCTAGTTTAAGTTTCGCATGATAAATATCATATAACTACAATCAATAGAACTAAACAAAACTACTACCTAAAGTCAAATCCAGATATTTTACTTCTCAGAAATATCACTAGGAAGTGCTTTAAGTAGAAATCTTAAAAGGCAGTTGGATTTTCTCCGTTATTAAAGTAGAGGTATCATTGCTTTCATTACTGAAGTTTTCGTCGTTGTCAGTGTCACAAAAAAGCCAAGGTAGCTTCGCTTTCAGAGCTACCCGATATTTGGGATGGCTGATTCCATAAACGATGGGATTATAGACGGAATTGGCTTTTGCAAAAACTGAGCCCCAGATCGTTGCTAGTGGTGTTAATTTAGTTCCATCTGAGAAAATCCCATTAAAGGCAATAATGAGGTACGGTGTCCATGCAACGAACCAGAGCCCTACGTTAAACATGGCAATCTTAGCCAGTCGAATCTCAGCACGTGCACCTTGTTGGTCACCGTTGGCTCGCAAGGATGTTACATTCATTTTCTTAGCTTGTTCCCGAAGACTTCTTTCGTGGTCAGCAACAGCTCTTACAATGAAGAAATAGCAGTATATTGTAATAAACAGAGGTAGAAAATATACAGCAGTTGCGTAAATGACCACGTAAGACCGTGAATGTGTATCCTTGGTAAGATAATCAAAAGTGCAACTGGTCATGTTGCCCTCGGGAACATAACTGTAAAGTAGTTGCTTGAAGTTAATTATCCATACTTTAACCACAGATCATTGTAATATAAAAACAAAATTACAAAACATATTTCATAATTTTTAAAAGCAACATAAAATTATGAAACAGATCTAAAGCTTAGAATTATTGAATTATTGTCAACGATATTTTAACACATTTGAAAGGGAAATTGTCCTTTTTTGTAAATTTTTATTGATTTCAAAATAGGCATATTAGAAATAGTTAGACTTATGAACTTTATAATAGTTGAAATTTTACGTATAAAATTATTACGGCTTAAAAAGAAAAGAAAAAGAAATACACATACCGATTCCAGCCAAAAAATGGGGCTAAAGTCCAACCTATAGACCACGCCCAAACAAAAATGTTCATCAAAGCCGCTTTACTGTGAGTCATGGGAGAAACACTGAAACCCTTACCGATGATGTGGTAGCGGTCATAGGTGATCATGACCATGGACCAGATAGAGGCACATCCAAATAAGGAACCGAGCATTCCATAAACCTATAAAAGAAAAAAAAAGAAACTACAGAATTTCTGACGTTTATTTAGGCTCAAAACAATCTTGAAGCTATTTTACATTATTCGAATACTCTTGCTGTGCCAAAAGTATATCTAAGACAGATTTCAAATCAGCGTATTAAAACCTTTTTCGGCTTAAGTATGATTTGAAAACATGAAGACTCATAATAATATAATAAATCTAAACATATAATTGAAGCAAAACATCATATTCATATATGAGATCAAGAAATATATGTCTGAATCACGAATTTGCCTCTTATAAATGCACTCACTCAAATATGGGTGGGTGTTCGAGTAGACAACATATAAAATGAGATTAATAAACGGGTGAAACGATCATTCTCAAATCTTTGATCGTAACATTAACTGCATTATAAAGATATTAATGTCATCAGGGTTGGCTAATTTAATGTAAACAGAGATGACATTTGAATAGTTGTAATCTCACGTAAAAACAAACAAAAAACTAATAGCTTCGCGATTCAAATATATCTAGTTCATCAAAGTTAAAAAGGGGTTTTATCGAAAATACTTAAGCTAGTAGTGTCGTCACGACTCAATTCTTTCTTATTTCTATGATATCTGTATCAGTAATGTCAACTCTGTCAAACCTTTACGAGCCAGGTGTATAAGAATTCAGAACATTTTTAATTAACCAAAAACATCAACGTACTGCTTTTGCCAATTATGGTTTTATTTTTAATAATATTTAATACGTGTTATGTGCCACAAACTACGATTTGTTTCTTCGTTCGGGTTAGAAATCCAGTATTTGTCTTCAAGACGAAGTACTTACCTCACACATAAAAGGCCCCAGGGCCCATTTTTCGGCGAAACAGTTAGTCGCCATCATAGGCATCATCGTTCCCATCATCATGAAGTCTGAGAAAGCTAGGTTAACAATTAATACGTTAGACGCTGTCCGCATCGACTTGGTTGTTAAGAAGATGTAGATGACTACACCGTTTCCACAGATGCAAAGTATTCCCAGAAAAATCATGGCAACACCCAAAATCTGAAACCAGAGAGGGTTTAATGATGGAAAACGATACCAGTGCTCATGCACCATGTGTAGCATGTCTTTTGGGACCATGTCAACCACACTGGCATTAGAAGAAAACTGCCACCAAAAGGGAGAAGAGGAGGAGATAATGTCTAACATGTTTGAAGAAAGTTTCTAGAAAAGCATAAAAAACAAAATTGTAATTAAATTATAATACCAAAATCCGAAATTATTCGACACTTTCAGATTGTGAAATAGTTAAATGATTAGATTTTAAATTCACAGAAAACTCGGGCAGTGAAACAGGTTTGGTTAAAAACATTATAGAATATTCTGCTTCTCGAAATGTGTCATATAATTTCATGTTTTATGAATGTTTGTGTTCGACTTGGGCTTCATTTTTAAAAATGATGCAAGCTAATTAACTGGCTAATGTGACAACTAATGTGAGAACTTGTGTATTAAGGATATCATAAATAAAATTTGCAGCACACTTCAAAATACCTAAATATCCGAACTCTTTCTAATAGTTGACTATTTTTCAGGAGTAAAAGGGGTAATTCTTTGTGCTAACTCTTTCATCATGGCTGATAAATAAAACCTAGAAGTGTATAGTTATATAAGGTATCAGTTTTTATAAGTAAAACAAAATTACAGTCACTTCAATTCAAATTGTTTGGAATAAACAAAACGAACACTTACAATTATACTTTAAGGAGTCTAACTTTAGTGCCTTCCCTGCTACTTACAGAGGTGCACTCTTTCGTGGTCAGTGAAAAAAATGCCCTTCATCCTTTTTAAACATTACCGTGTTTTTCTAAGGACCAATAAAAAAGATCGTATATGTTACGTCACATATTTCTAAGAAAAACAAAATTAAATGAATATATTTTATTAATATGGCTTTCTGAAGACTTTGGAGGGAGTTAAGTTTATCTAACAGGATTATAAAAATACGCCAGTCAATTAGTGCGAAGTATCATAACACCGACCAATCAGAAGTTGAATGAAAATTTTATAAGCCAGTTAATACTCTAAAAGTGCAAGTAAAAAAGTTGATCTTCGTTTAATTATTTTATTTAACATCTTTGCACAAGAACTGTCAGTTATTACGAATTGAATACTCTAAATATTCTGAAACAGGAAGAAAACACTATATTCTATAGATTCAGCGAAATAAGTGGTTTTCAAAACACAAGTCATATATTTTTCAAACTTTCAACATACAGCAGCTGTAGCTATTTGAGCGGGTCAAAACTTACATTGTTAAACATTAAGATAATCTTTTGTAATGATGTTTTCCTGAAGTCTGCGCCGCTTGGTTACATATTAAAACAAATCACAGAATAACACTGCAAATAAAACTTATATATTTCTTAATCTAACCCAAGAACACATGAACTAAAAATCACGTGACAATCTATATGTTATAATTAGCTAACCCGCACATGAATTTATTTCAGTAACTATTATCTTTTACTTGCTTTACGTGTTATCGTTGTTTTTTTAGCGCAAAGTTACACAAATGGGCTATCTGCGCACTGTCCATTGCGGGGAATCAAACCTCAGAGTTTAGCAGAAACTTACCGTCGAACTACCAGAGGACTTTTTCAAGTAAACGGACTAACAAACAATTTTAGAAATAATTAACGATAATAAAATTAACTCGTTATGATCAGATATAGTTGAGGTAACTCAAGAAAATGGCAGGTCAACCTGGTGAAACGTAGTGTATTTATATAATTCTTACTTCCAATAAACTCAAGGTTTATGCCATCTAAGTTGTTAATTTAATTCGTTATGGGCTTAGAAATTAACAGTTGTTGTTAGTAATCAAAACGATTATTTTAAGGAATAGTGTAATTACAAATACGGGAGAATTGACATTAAAAAACTCGCAAAAAAAGAAAAAAAATGGAAATGAAGTGAAAAAATAAATCAACTTTGAATGCTGAAACTACTTAGAAATAGAATATTCTTCAGTTAATGTAAATCTAATGTGTATGTAGATACTGCAAGAACTCGGTATAAAAGGCTAACAAAAATTTAATGACAACAACCTCCAATAATCAGTGGTGAATTTTTATTTTACCAATTATTAAATGTTTGTTTGTTTATAATTAAGCACAAAGCTACACAATGGGCCATCTGTGCTCTGATACGAAATTTAACTATATTATTACAATCGCCATAGTATAAATCAGACTGAGGACTTTTAACGCAAAAAATCGGATTTTGATACCCGCGGTGAGCAGAGCACAGACAGCCAACTGTTTATCTTTGTGTTCAATAACAAACAAACAGCGGTAACAGTTTTGCTTTATGGGTATTTTCAGTTTCAAAGCTTAATATCAAATGATTTTGTATTTAATTAAATAATGAAAAGTTTCATTTCTAAATATTGTTTGCCATTTTCTTTAACTTCAAAACAGTTTTAATTTAAAGAAACCATACTTTAAGAAATGTTTGTTAGTGAATCAGTTGAAAAGATAATGAGCAAGATGCGAACCAATTAAAAATGTTTATTTTGTATTAAAGTTACTAATTTACTAACCAGGTTTACCGTATGTTAATGAACCTTCCGTAAACGAACTCGGAGAAGTAGATTTTACGGGATCATACATCTAATCAGGTGGTTGTGGGGCTCGACTCGCAATCTGAGGGTCGCGGGTTCGAATTCCCCTCCCACCAAACATGCTCGCCCTTTGAGCCGTGGGGGCGTTATAATGTAACAGTCATACCCACTATTCGTTGGTAAAAGAGTAGCCCAAGAGTTGGCGGTGGGTAGTGATGACTAGCTGCCTTCCCTCTAGTCTTTCACTGCTAAATTTAGTGACGGCTAGCGCAGATAGCCCTCGTGTAGCTTTGCGCGAAATTCAAAACAAACAGACATCTAATTTAAATATTTTGATTTTTATAAGACCGTCAAATATATGAATATATGTTTATATATTGAAAAAATAGTGTTTAAAGTATCCTGGGTAAAATCGCAATCAAATGCAGCGAAGTACGTCGAAGGGCTTTGTTTGAGGAGGTTTGAAGGTTTAACACTGAATTTCCAGTTTCACTGCATAGAATTCTTAGCGGCTTAGACATTCTAGCTATATTATTTTTGATATAGAGACATTCCTAATGACCTAGAGAAGAATTCGATATAAAACCGAAATTGCCGTCCACTGCAAAATCAAAAGTAGATCATAAAAAAGCGTCTATTTTTGCATTATATTAATTAATTAATAGATAAACTATTGAATTCCTAAACCTATACATTCTTTTAAGAAATTTTACCCAAACATTTCTGGTTTGAAAGAAGCTAAGAAATTCTAGCACATCTACAGAACAAACATTATCCAATTAAAGGTGAAAAGATGAGCAAAAGAAACCTTGTGAGGATCTAAGCTTTGGTGCCATGTGCCATTTCCATTTTCTTCTTGTAGTACTAGCAGTAAAACGGCTAAGTATTCCTTAAGCGTTCAAGCGAGCACCGAGATTGATATCAGATAACCTTTATACAGTAGAAGTGACCTATAAGTGTGCCCTTTAGCAATCCAGAAGCCTTTTGAAGTAAACAGATCATTAGGGTGCAGTAGATCTGATAACAAAAATGCTCGGTTTATTTTTACGCCTTATTAGTTTCATGGTAATAAAAATGGTGGCGCTGAAGTCTATTAAAGCTATAAAACTGCGAAATTTTTAAATAACTAAACGTTTTAGAAGACCAGGGTTTAAATAAGTTGTGTAAATCAAGGTTTCATTAACAGGTTCGTTTTCTTAATGTTTGATACGTAAACTATTAATAGATATAACTAGAAGTTCATAAAAGAGAGGAGGAAATAAATATCACTCTTGAAGTTTTAGTTGGTGAGTAAACGAAACAAATGAATTTTTATCAGTTGTCTCTGGCAACGAAATTAACTGACTAAGGCAAGTGCTAGTCTAATCAAGATTTCTGAGTAAGAAAAAATATAAATGTTTTTCAAACATTTATAAAACAAGCTCGAGTTTTAAAAAATACTGGTTAGTGGTCGTTTTCTTGTAGAAAATGATAAAATATTATTATTTTTTGGTAATAGTATTAGGCCTAATATCTTTTTAACACTGCATTAGTTTATCCAGTCTATTAGGGATTTTTAAGAATTAGAAGCGTGTTTAAAGATAGTATTCCAACCACACTTATTGTCATTTCCATTGCGTTTTGCTCAGCCTAGACTTCTTCAATTCGGCTGGAATATAACAAACACAGTATCAAATGGTTTACATAAATAGCGTTCCGACCATTACTGTGTTTGTTGTATGCCAGCTGACCAGAAGAGCTCTGGAGTGAGCAAAACGCGTCGTCGCATTGGAAATGACAAATATAGTGTGGTTGGAATACTGTTGTTATATACTTTTCTAATTCTTGAAAATTCGCAAGGGACTAGATAAAAAATGTAGTGTTTAATAATGTAATAGGCCCAATACTAATGTCTTATGACAAGTAAAAAAGTAGGCCTAATGCTGATAGCACGTGGTTTTAGGTAGGAATATTGGTTAGGATAGACTAGGTTGATAATGAGTATTTTCAAAGTTAAAGACTGTTAGAAAAGGCGTTCACACTGTAAAAATTATTGGAGCATAGTATATTGATAAAAAAATGCTGTTAAGTGTTTAGAGCATTTCAAAATCATAATATCATTCACACGCCTGGCTTCATGTATTTATTGGTACACTTACACGTCCATTATGCACTGTCTATCGTCAGTCTCTTTACATCTCTTGGCCAAAGAGAGGACGCAACACTCTGATGACCCGTCAGCCCCTTGGGCTGGAATGAAGGGACAAAAGTAAATTTTAAGGTTAATAGGAATACATTGTTTAAAGGAAATCAAAAATAAAGTAAAATCAGACATAAAGTAAATTCACTTCTTAAATAGAAACTTAATTTATTCACAGCGTTCGTTTTAAAACGTATTGTTTGAGCGCTGAATGCACTTGTACACTTGATTTTACTTTATTTGTTTATTTTATTCAGTCATATATATAGGAACTCTCAGAAGGGCTCAGAGAAATTTAAATCAATTAGAAATATATTTTGGTAAGATATTTAAAGTTGAGGTCTCGGACTTAAAGGAATATAAAATGTTTAGAAAATCATTAACACTATTATAAGTAGGCTGTGTTCGTAGAGTGCTGTTAGGGTGTTAACTTTGCTTTTTAATCAGTAACATGAAGACGAGCTTTAATTCAATGTTGGTGTTTAAATACGTGTAATAATGTCAAAGTAATTATATGCATATTCTTAAAAGTTTTTACTTCTTATATTCGGAATATAACAAACCGGTCAAGAACAAGAGTCAGAGTCTTAAGATAATGAGAAAAAATAAACATCTAAACAAGCTGATTAGAGTTGAAATAGATATAGTTTGGTTTCTTAATAAATGTATCTTCACCTTTACTAAAGTAATTAGTTTATTGCAATAAAATTTTAGGATAAACTGTCTATTGAAATGATGCACCTAGTAATGTCTGTTTAAAAATATGTGTTTTTGGAATATGTCAATTATTCACTTTGCGAATTTGTATGGAAAAGTGTATTTAATGTTTTCCCAAACTTAAACGTAGGAACATCTGAAATGACTGACTGGAATCCCTCACACTCTCTTGGACATTCTCTTTGGTGGGGCTCAGATAATGAGCATTTTCTGTGGATGCGACGTCATGGGGCCAACGTAACAACGACTGATGTACTACCAGCTGATATGGAACCTTTAATAAGGGAATACTGGAAACAGTTTCGAGTGCTAAGTCCAGAATGGTTTTTTGCATTAGGCATTTGCATAACAGCCTTAGGATTGATTTCTTTAACAGGAAATTCAGTGGTGATTTATATATTTCTTACAACGAAATCATTACGAACACCGTCCAACTTGCTTGTGGTTAATTTGGCTTTTTCAGACTTCATGATGATGTTTACAATGATGCCAATGATGAGTGTCTGTTGCTTTTCCCAGAGCTGGATTTTTGGACCATTAGCCTGTGGGATATATGGAGCCTTTGGCTCTGGGTTTGGTTCAATATCCATCATAAGCATGATGGCCATTGCAATAGATCGTTACCGAGTTATCGTGAAAGGACTGTCAGGGGAGAGACTCACGTATAGAGAAGCAGTTCTTTGGATTTGTATAATTTGGATCTTTGTCGGCCTCTGGACGGCAGCTCCTTTCTTCGGCTGGAACTCTTACGTTCCAGAAGGGAATCTTACAAGTTGTTCCATTGACATGGTGAGCAACGACTGGAATTCTCGGTCTTATGTGATTGCCTACGGAACAAGTGTGTATTTATTGCCCTTGTTGTTCCTTAGCTATACATATTTCTACATTGTGAAGACAGTTGTAGAGCACGAATATTTACTTCGAAAGCAAGCTCGTCGCATGAATGTTGACCGACTCAAACCAAAACAACCTGGAATATCAGTAGAAGCTAAAATATCCTTAGTGGCCCTTATGACAGTTGTGCTGTGGTTTGTTGCTTGGACACCATATGCTGCCTTAGCCATTCTAGGATCTCTTACAAATGGAAAACTGGTCACTCCGTTAATAAGCATCTGGGGAGCAGTCTTTGCGAAAGCTGGTTCCTGTTACAACCCTATAGTGTACGCAATCAGTCACCCTAAATACCAAGAAGCGCTTCGTAAAAGACTGCCTAGACTGTACAAGTTTTTTTCGTGTACGTCTTCTAAGCCTTTGGAGAAAGTTGAAAATCAGGAAAATCAACATGAGTCAACAACGATCGAGAAAATAATTTCTCCGGAATCATCTCCCTGAACAGCTCTGTTCAAATACGTCATAGATGGTTAGGGTCAATAGTGTTGCATTATATAGCAACAAATAAGGAAAATATAACAAAAAATCTAAAGAATGTATCTTATGCTAACTTTAACCAGGTTTATCATTGCTTTCTTAGGATTTTATGGTCAACTTTTCAGTGATGAAAGTTTGGAGGAGAGGCTAATGCGGATTGCTTTATCGTGGACATTTGAATTTTGTGTTTGAGGAAACAAGAGAGAGAGAATGTGCCTGTCTAGTAAAAAGCAGGCTAGTGAAAGCAACATAAATTTCTACCAACTTAAATGTTCAAAATGTTTTATAATAAAGGCGTTAATATTGGTGTTAATAAGGTTGATCTTTGTTAGCAGCATTGGGCATAAGTTAAAAGGATAATTTATTTTTAGTCAAAGAATTAAAACACACACACACACATATATATATTTAAAATCTATTTATAAATATGTGTGAGTGTGTGTATATTTTTTTGGTATAAAGTGTGTTTCATTTCACGAACATAAGTTGCTTTAAAATCTATTTTCTCTTTTTATTTTCATTACTTTTGTTTATTTCTCTTCGATCTCCGTTGGATCAGTGGTAAGTTTGGAGACTTAAAACGCTAAATTCCAGGTTTCGAGTACCACGCTGTAGACCGTACTCAGATAGTCCATCGTGGAGCTCTGCGCTAAAACAAATACAACATTTCTCTTTGTTCTATTATGGCATCTGTTTCTCGTCTAGTTGGATCCTTTTGGTTGCTCAATGGATTGGTTTGAGTGTTAGCTGATAATGCTATTCTAACAGATATTGATGTCATTTTCCTGGTGTTCCTAATGTTAGATTTTTGGTTACTTTATCAATATAGTTTTCTTAATTTGTCTTATGATTCAGCGTTGTTAGTTTTTGTTTGTTGTTTACAATAAAAAAGGAAACTTTCATGCTATTCTATCAAAATTGTTAAACTGTTCTAGGTATATATCTTTAAGTCATAATTTTAATATACTGTCTATATATATATATATTGTGTTAATGCTATAACTATATTATTCTTCATGCACTGAAACTGAATTTTTTGAGTGAAAAACATGTTACATAATAAATTTGGAAGATATACATATTAATAAATACGACTGATTATAGGTCTTCCAACGGTTGTATCAGTTATGTTAAATTTTTCTTTAAAACAAAGAATGTGTGTATCGTTGATATTTCTGTATAACCTTCTGAGCAGTATATAAAGTTATATCAGATAACTAAATATAACAGTTGATTTGCTTTCAGTCAAATGTAATTGGTCCCCTCCCCAGTGGCAAGTGGTTTCGATACTCGAGGTGGGCACAGTACAAATAGCCCATTGTGTAGCTTTGTGAATAACTACAAAAAAATAAGCGTCTTTATTTTTTCCTTTGTACTTAACCAGCAGTTGTTAACAGTGTGGGTTACTAGCATAGAACCTACAACGCTAGAAATCGGGTTTCGATACCCGTTGTGGATAGAGTACAGATAGCCCATTGTGTAGATTTGTGCTTAACTACAAACGATCTTAATGTCGTGTATGAAATAAAACCCATCTAAGCCCTTGAATGTTTCCCAAGCTCAATTCAGACATCACTTAATTACATATTTTAAAGTATAATTAACTCAAATAGTTCTAATTTAAGTGTTATTTTAAACACATAGCGGCATAGCCAAGAAAACAAATTTAACAACAATTGGACATGCTGTAAGAGTTGATTAATACTTTATAGGTCAACACGTCGAACTTCTGTTCTTTATCGTTCGTTCTTTTGATTCACTAACTAAACATTGTGTCTAAAGAATTTTGAGAACCAGCTTCTAGAGTGCCTATTGTCTTTTTTTTCCTTTTTTGTTTGTTGTTAAACCCAAAACTACGCAGTGTTCTGGACCCATTACATTTTGTGATAAAAACCCGATTACCGAAAACCAAACTTACCGCTGAGTCACTGTGGGAGACGCCTACTCCATTATTACAAGTATGGATTAGAAATTAAAGTTTGTTTGTTTTCAAACAGATACTCGCGGCTCACTTTAACTGTTATATTATAAAGTTATTTTAATGTCATGTGGTAAACAACTAAAACACAAAGCAACTTAAGCAAAGTTATTAAAATGTTTTAAAAATGCATATTCCATCATATTAAACACGGTTTCATAGACTTTACTAAAAATGTAAGAATGATTTGTTTTTATTTCACGTTTTCAGTATCTCGAAGCAAGTTTGAAAACAAGTTGATGCCTAACAGTAATAAACTAATTTTAATTAAAAACTATTTCATTGCCATTTGTAACCCCGAATGTTTAGTCTAACCTTCTTGTTCCGAAAAAACTACTCTGGTTTTAATCAAACAAGTAAAAATATAATCCAGGATCACCTTCGTGTTCTCATTTGTTGAATAAAGCAAAACATACGCAACTGTACCACACTTGAAGCTAATTGTTAATAGCTGACATTTAACTGCAAAAAAATCCTTATAGAAGACTGTGAACTTTTTTTACCATAGATTTCGAGATTGTTGCTACCGTAACCTCTCAAGGAATTTTAACTTTAAAGTTTAACTGTTTTTAAGATAATCTATATAAACATATTTTGAACTTAATTAAATGGTATATGTATATGTG